TTTTTTTTTTCAAAGAATTGATCTTTATGATTCTTACTTTTGTAGCACATTTTCCTCCTCTTGAAGTTGAGCACTGTGTAGTTGTTGGCGTGACTGGTCAGATTGAGTTGCATCGTTAAAAATGCCTCTTCATCCACTTTGCCTGAGCAGACGATGTCCACTCTAAAGACTGAAAAGGCACAAAAAAAACACACATTTGTAACCACCAAAATCACTGTGAGAAACCAGCTCATGTTAGACACACAGTACATTCATAATTCAAAAAATATTACATGCAAAAATAAATAAATTTCAAGCTGAACATAGCTATACAGACCCTTTCCAAAAAATTAGAATATCATGGAAAAGTTGTTTAACTTCCATAATTCCATTCAAAACGTTAATCTTTAATAGATGATAGATCCAGGGCTCATAATTTAAACGATTTCAAGTATTTATTTGTTTATTTTTACATAATTTCGGCTTCCAGCTCATGAAACCCACGAAAACAGGATTTCATAAAATGAGAATGCTGTGAAGAAATCATCCCAAATGTTGCAGGGCATGAATGTTTTAAACTGAGTGTGACACTAATTATCTACTAAACTCAAAGCACCTGCACAGGTTTCCCCAGGTGGCATTAAATTGCTTCAGCTTGGTTCATTTGTCTCAGTTCGGTTCAATATGGGGAAGATTGCAGACATAACTGGCCAGAAGACCATCACTGATACCCTCCATAGGATGGGTAAGCCACAAAAGTTCATAGCTAAGGAGGCTGGCTGTTCACAGAGTGCTGTGTCCAAGCACATCAATGGTAAGTCCAGTGGAAGGGCAAAATGTGGCAGGAGAAGATGCACCAGCAAAAGAGATGACCGTGGGCTTCAGCAGATTATCAAACAGAGAAGATTCCAGAATCTGGCCGAGATCCAGAAAGAGAGGAATGAGGCGGGAGTCACAACTTCAAAAAACACCACATTCAGACGCATCCGGGAGATGGGCTACAACTGCTGGGTTCCTCGGTCCTCTTGTCCGATGAAACTAAAGTGTGGCTTTCATTCGGAAATCAAGGTCCAAGGGTTTGGAGGAAAAAGGGTGAGGAACAGAGCCCATACTGCTTGAGGTCCAGTGTGAAATATCTACAGCCAGTCATGATTTGGGTGCAATGTCCGGTGCAGGTGTTGGTAAACTCTGCTTTCTTAAATCCAAGGTCACTGCAACAGTCTACCAGAACGTTTTAGAGGATTTCATGATTCCTTCTGCTGAGGATCTGTATGGAGATGCAGATTTCATCTTCCAGCAGGACCTGGCCCCTGCCCATGCCGCCAGAAGCACCAAAACCTGGTTTGATGCCCATGCCACAGTGCTTCACTGGCCAGCCAACTCGCCGGACCTAAACCCCACTGAGAAACTATGGAGTATTCTCAAGAAGAAAATGAGGGAAGGGCACCAGACCCAACAACAAAGAAGAGCTGACAGCAAGCATCAAGGAAATCTGGTCTTCCATAACTCCCAGGCAATCCCACAGACTGATTGCCTCAATGCCACGTCACATCGAGGCAGTGATTAAGGCAAAGAGATTTCAACCAAGTACTGAAGATTGACATGTTTTGAAAGTACCATATTTCGACTGATTTGTTGTGATCTTAATGTATTCAATTTATTGTTTTTGCAAAAACTGAGTAGTGTGGACTGATGTCTTCAGAGTATTCTTATTTTTTTGAAATCCTGTTTTCATGGGTTTCATGAGCTGGAAGCCCAAATTATGTAAAAATAAACAAATAAATACTTGAAATTGTTTAAATGGTGGGCCCTGAATCTATCATCTATTAAAGATTAACGTTTTGAATGGAATTATGGAAGTTTAACAACTTTTCCATGATATTCTAATTTTCTGGAAAGGGTCTGTATGTGCCAAACTTAAGGCCCAGGAGCCAAATGTGGCCCTCGTTGACATCTTATCTGGCCCCCCCAAGATGATCTGCGAAACGTAAAATACTTCCATCTCTTGAATTTTTCCAGTAATCTTTGATTATGATGTCGAAAGCACAGAGAACAGAGAACATCAAATGAGACCAATCAAACTCTTGATGAGGAGCATGTGACCAAGAAAAGAGGTTGGGTATTTAACTTGAGTTAATGTAGTTTCTGAAATTGACCCTTAGTTTGAAAAAGGTTTTAATTTTGGTACCCTTCTGTAAGTAAGTTTGACACCCCTGATATAGAGTATTCAAAAATGTACTAAGGTGTTTTAAATTATTGTAAAAATCACCTTGCTACTAAGAAAAAAATATTTTTGTCACAGACTGCTAAAAAAAATCCCTCAATTAATTTTGTCACATTAATGACCAAAATGACTGTGTGACTAAACAGCTGACATTAGAAACACAAAATGTTCAGTTTTCAAAATCCTCTAACTTTGTCATTGATAAGCAATGACAAGAAGACAAAATGTATCAGTTTGAAAACAGTAGATGTCAATCTCACAATTACCTGCAAAGTTATAACTTGTTTTTCGTTTTGATTAAACAAATATTTAGGATGTTATTTAGTGAGATTTAGAAAAGTTTAGAAACTAGATTTGGCCAAGGCCACCTTCACAATAGATGACAACTCCAATACAAAGTTTAAAAACAAAAATGAGTTAAAATGTGGATTAGAAATGCACCGATTTCAGTTTTGTGTACCGATAAAGTCCCGATTTTTGAATAGCCCTGACCTGCTGATACAGATCTTCCGATACCAATTTTCTTACAATGAACTGACCCATACAAACTCATACACGTTTTTATTTTTTATATATTAGGCAAAAATGCTGTGGATATTCAACAGACCAGAGGAAACACGAGGGACCTCTCCCTGATTAGAGATGTTGCTCCGTGGAGGACTCAGGGCAACAGGGTTCTCCAGGTAGAACGCAAGGCGGTAGTCAACCTTTAAAAAAACCAAACAAATATTAACAATCACACATTAGAGTTGTATGAAAAAGCTGAGGAGGTAATTGCGAGGCTTATTCTGACCTTTGACCTGGAATACCACATAAAGTAAAGGCTGTTGGTTTCAGTGGGCACAGGTATGTTGAAAGACAGAGCATAATGATTCACCACATCGTCTCGTACATAGTAGAGTTCTGCATCCAGGCCTGTGGGAGGACAGAGGCCAAATTAAATTACAGGCAAAGAAAAATAAAGTCATGTTTGCTGAACATAAAAAGGCAGTTTTTACTGGTTGCTTTTTTAGTATAAACCAACACGGAGAATTTGTTTTACTTTTCCAAACTGGAATCTTAAATTGGTGTAGCACGGTGGCTCAGTTGGTAGAGCTGCTGCCTCTCAGCGAGAAAGTCACTGGTTCAAATCCTGGACAGGGGACTTTCTGGGTGAAGTTTGCAAATTCTCTCCGTGCATGTGTGGGTTTTCTCCAGGTACTCCAATTTTCTCCCACAGACCAAAAATATGCATGTAAGACTGATTGGTAACTCTAAATTGACTAGGTGTGAGAGAGAGAGAGTAAATGGTTGTTTGTCTCGTTTGTCTCTGTGTCCCTGTGATGGACTGGAGACCTGTCCAGGTGTCCCACGCCTCTCACACAGTGATGGCTGGACATGGGCACCAGTGACCCCCGCGACCTAAAAAGGATGAAGTTGGTAAAGATGATGGGTGGATGGAATCTTAAAATTATTTTGAGCGAATCAGAACTTATAGGTGGACAAGAGAAGGTTTATGGGTGTACGAACGGACACAGACTAGATTAAAACACGTCCACCTTCGACAGGTGTATAAAAATGAAAAATATATTCAAAATTTCCTTATTTATAGCATAGCAAGAAAAAAAGAGACTATCAACACAATCTACTCAACTCTTTAGTTTTCATTCATCCATTTTCTTCCGCTTATGCAGGGTCGGGTTGCGGGGGTAGCAGCTTAAGTAGGGAGGCCCAGACTTCCCTCTCCCCAGCCACTTGGACCAGCACCTACGGGGGAATCCCGAGGCGTTCCCAGGCCAGCTGAGAAACATAGTCCCTCCAACGTGTCCTGGGTCTTCCTCTGGGTCTCCTCCCGGTGGGATGTGTCCGGAACACCTCACCAGGGAGGCGTCCAGGAGGCATCCTAACCAGATGCCCGAGCCACCTCAACTGGCTCCTCTCGACGTGGAGTAGCAGCGGCTCTACTCTGAGTCCCTCCCGGATGATCGAGCTTCTCACCCTATCTCTAAGGGAGAGCCCAGACACCCTGCGGAGAAAACTCATTTCGGACGCTTGTATCCGAGATCTTGTTCTTTCGGTCACAACCCAAAGCTCATGACCATAGATGAGGGTAGGAACGTAGATCGATCGGTAAATTGAGAGCTTTGCCTTTTGACTTGGCTCTCTCTTCACCACGACAGACCTGTACAGCGCCCACTTCATTGCAGATGCTGCACCTATCCGCCTATCGATCTCACGCTCCATTTTTCCTTCATTCGTGAACAAGACCCCAAGACTTGAACTCCTCCACTTGGGGCAGGACCTCCTCCCTGACCCGGAGAGGGCACTCTACCCTTTTCCGACTCAAGACCATGGCCTCGGATTTGGAGGAACTGATCCTCATCCTGGCTGTGTTGCACTCGGCCGTGAACCACTCCAGCGAAAGCTGTAGATCACGATCTGATGAAGCCAACAGGACGACATAATCTGCAAAAAGCAGAGATGTAATCCTAAGGCCACCAAAACGGATCCCCTCAACATCTTGGCTGCGCCTAGAAATTCTGTCCATAAAAGTTATGAACAGAATCGGTGACAAAGTGCAACTTTGGCGGAGTCCAACTCTCACCGGGAAAAGTCCGACTTACTGCCGGCAATGTGGACCAGGCTCTGACACCGGTCATACAGGGACCTAACAGCCCATATTAAAGGGCTGGTACCCCATTCTCCCAGAGCAACCCCCACAGGGTTCCCCGAGGGACACAGTCGAACGCCTTCTCCAAGTCCACAAAGCACATGTAGACTGGTTGGGCAAACTCCCACGCACCCTCCAGGACCCTGCTGAGGGTGTAGAGATGGTCCAGTGTTCCACGACCAGGACGAAAACCGCACTGCTCCTCCTGAATCCGAGGTTCGACTATCCGACGGACCCTCCTCTCCAGAACCCCCGAAAAGACCTTACCAGCGAGGCTTATGAGCGTGAGCCCCCTGTAGTTGGAACACACTCTACGGTCCCCCTTTTTGAATAGGGGGACCACTACCCCGGTCTGCCAATCCAGAGGAACTTCCCCCGATGTCCACGCAATATTGCAGAGTCACGTAAGCCAACACAACCCTACAACATCCAGAGCCTTAAGGAACTCCGGGTGAATCTCATCCACCCCTGGGGCCCTGCCACCGAGGAGCTTTTTAACCACCTCAGTGATCTCAGCACCAGAGATTGGAGGGCCCGACCCAGAGTCCCCAGGCTCCGCTTCCTCAGTAAAAGACGTGCCGGTGGGATTGAGGAGGTCTTCAAAGTATTCCGCCCACCGACCCACGACATCCCAAGTTGAGGTGTACTCCACCCCCACTATAAACAGTGTTGGTGGTGTACCGCTTTCCTCCCTGAGACGCCGGATGGTGGACCAAAATCGCCTCAAAGCCGCGTGGAAGTCATTCTCCATGGCCTTTCCAAACTCCTCCCATGCTCGAGTTTTTGCCTCAGTGATCACCCGAGTTGCATGTTGCTTGGACTGCCGGTCCCCATCAGCTGCTTCCGGGGTCCCACAGGCCAAAAAGGCCTGATAGGACTACTTCTTCAGCCTGACAGCATCCCTTACTGCCGGTGTCCACCACCGGGTTCGAGGGTTGCCGCCACGACAGGCACCGACAACCTTGCGGTAGGAATGCGCAATATAAACGGTATACGGTAGAAACGATAGAAATTTAGCTAACGATAGAGATCTGTCTTCTACCGGCTAACCGCAGTAATGCTGTGTCTGAAGTAAAATCAGAGTTGTCAGTTTAATCGTTACCTTTGTTTGTTGAAAACTGTGCATAAGTGGTGTTCAAGTGTAAAATCAGAGCTGTCAGATTTAATCGTTACTTCTTTTGAAGCTGAAAACTGTGCGAAAGTGGCGTTAAAAGTCTTTTCTTCGAGAGCTAAGTAGCGAAGCTACAAGCTAACTACAACCGGCTTGCCGTAGTGTTGCCGTATTCGGACGAATGCGCAAAACACTGTGTTCCATCAGAAGTTTTTTTTTTTCCTTCCCATCGAAAGTTAAAGTAAGTGTTGGTCAGCTTTAGAGAAACCTGCTCTCTGATCTGTGAAAAGAACGTTGTATTGTGTGATTTTACTGCGAGATCCTCTGGTCAAAGCCATAGACTCATTTTGTGTCAGCTCTCCCTTAAAACAGAAGGAGGCGCCCACTAGAGGTTTGGAGGGTGAAGTGTTTCAGTGTAAAATGCTGCTCTGTTGCTGTTCATTTCTTAAGACTGGAAACTGTTAAGAGTAAACAACATATTTTTTTGTTTAAAACATAAGGCTAAATCTACATTTGATATCTTTTGCACTGTTTTGCACTACAAGAAAGAAGCCTAATACTTGATTTGTTTATTATTTAAAAACTCTCTGGACCTAGTAGTGGAATTTTCTTAATTAAAATATATGATGGCAAAAGGACACCTTATGCTTTTTTTTTTTTAGCAAGTTTTATACCAAAAACATATCGCGATATATATTGTTATCGCCACCCTTCGCAATACATATCGTGATATGAATTTTATGCCATATCGCACATTCCTACCTTGCAGCCGCAGCTCTGGTAAGCTGCCTCAACAATACAGGCACAGAACATGGCCCACTCTGACTCAATGTCCCCTACCTCCCCCAGAACATGTTCGAAGTTCTCCCAGAGGTGGGAGTTAAAGCTCCGTCTCACAGGAGACTCTGCCAGACGTTCCCAGCAAACCCTCACACATTTGAGCCTGCCAGGTCTGACCGGCATCCTCCTCCACCATCGGAGCCAACTCACCACCAGGTAGTGATCAGTGAACAGCTCTACCCCCCTCTTCACCCGAGTGTCCAAGACATGTGGCCGCAGATCAGATGAGACGACGACAAAGTCGATCATCAAAAGGCAGCCTAAAGTATCCTGGTGCCAAGAGCACATATGGACACCCTTATGCTTGAACATGGTGTTTGTTATGGACAATCCATGACGAGCACAGAAATCCAACAACAGAACACCACTCGGGTTCAGATCAGGGGGGCCGTTCTTCCCAACCACACCCCTCCAGGTCTCACTGTCATTGCCCACATGAGCATTGAAGTCCCCCAGCAGAACAAGGGAGTCCCCAGGAAGTGCACTTTCCAGTACCCCCTCCAAGGACTCCAACCAAAAAGGGTGGATAATCTGAGCTGCCGTTTGATGCATAAGCACAAACGACAGTCAGAACCCGTCCCCCCACACTTAGGCGGAGGGAGGCTACCCTCTCATTCACCGGGGTGAACCCCAACACACAGGCACCAAGATGGGGGGCAATAAGTATGCCCACTCCTGCTCAGCGCATCTCACCAGGGGTAACTCCAGAGTGGAAGAGTGTCCAACCCCTCTCAAGGAAACTGGTTCCAGAGCCAGAGCCATGCGTATAGGTGAGTCCGACTATTTCTAGCCGGAACCTCTCAACCTCACACACCAGCTCAGGCTCCTTCCCCACCAGTGAGGTGACATTCCACGTCCCAATAGCCAGCTTCTGTAGCAGAGGATCAGACCGCCAGGGTCCCCGCCCTCAGCCACCACCCATCCCACATTGCACCCGACCCTTTTGGCCCCTCCCACAGGTGGTGAGCCTATGAGAAGGGGGACCCATATCTCCTCTTCGGGCTGTACCCGGCCGAGCTCCATGGGCAAATGCCCGGCCACCAGGCATCCGCCCGCGTGCCCCACCTCCAGGCCTGGCTCCAGAGTGGGGCCCCTGTGACCCAAGTTCGGGCGAGGGAACATCAAGTCCATTTATTTTGCTCATCATTGGGGTGTTTGGGCTGCACTTTGTCTGGTCCCTCAACTAGGACCTGTCTGCCTTGGGTGACCCTACTAGCGGCGTGAAGCCCCCGACAGCGTAGCTCCTAGGATCATTGGGACATTCAAATCCCTCCACCACGGTAAGGTGGCAGCCCAGAGAGGGGCTCTTTAGTT